GGCTGCGATGTCCCCATGCAAATACGCGCAGGCATGCGGGGGGTCTGGAACAGGAACTAAGGTTAGTCCGAGTCTCATGGGCACAAGTCGAGAACTTACCCCAGTTTATGCGAGTTCGACGTCCACGACGACGATAGCGATGGTGACGCCTTTTGGAGCATACGGGGTGGCGGGCAGGAATGCCAGGGCGTCGTCAGGTCGAAGAACTAATAGAAAATACGAGAAGATAGGTTAGTCCGAGTCTTCCGAGTGCAAAAATCGGAAACTTACCGGAGTCGGTACGAGTTTGAGTCCGCGTCAATAATGGTAGCGGTGACATCTTTTTGAGCACAGGTGGGGGCCGGCGGGCATGCGGGGGCAATGTCAGGAAGAGAAGCTATAACGAAATTAGGAAAATATATATGAGCCCTTCGAGTGCAAGTCGAAAACTCACCCCCAAGTCGGTGCGAGTTCACCTCCAAAGAGTGCACTGAGGCGGAAGGTCATGCATACTCGGCCACTGGTCGTTATTTCATGAGGCAAATGTTGATGCCGAACACCGTATAGTTACAACAGAGGGTCAGTGAATCTAATTATGGCCGAGTGCGCTTGTACAAGATTACAAAATGTAAGTACATTGCGGCTGTGGTAGCCGCATAGCTGCTTGTTCGTGTTAGCTTTCCCTGTCGTAGTCAGTAGCACGTGATCCAATCCTTGGCTTTCCCGAGATCGTCCCAGCGCGAGTGCTTCGTGCCTCCTGCGGCGTCTCCATCGTGGTGATTAGAGTGGATTCGAGCGCCCTACGTGCCCAGCTGCCTATTGCCATCCTAGCCCACCGCTGCATCTAGCGAGACCCGCCTCATTCCCGTGCTTTGCGCGAGACACATCACCCGCTTTGCGGAGCCCCAGCACCCTTTTCTCTTCTGTTCCGGTCTTCCACTGGTCTTATATCTTGTTCTGCGGCATCTTCAGCACCTGCTCGCTCTGCTCTGGCTTCTTTTTGCATCGAAAATATGTCTTGGGCAACACCTTTTCTCGCCACATCACTTCCTCCGGACCCAGAAGGCACGGATCGTTTGCAGGGGGACGAAGGCGGGTACGAGGGTGAAGGTTTCGAGTCGAGGTGGATTTCCCGCAGAGTACTGTCGCACAGGGATGAAGAGCATCTCGGCATGTGGGCAGCCAGGCTCAAAGTCATGGCCGGTACGCAGCATCTTCTTCCCACTATACCCACCATCCTTCCTGCGATATCGACTCATTCACATCATCATCTGCACCCCCACCCATATCCTGTCGCCTCGTATCCCTCGGCACCGCCAGCATCGCCTCTACCCTTGTCGGCCCGTCTGGCCGCTGCCCAGCGCACTGGAGGTGTTATCTCCGAGGCTGCTGCTGCTTGCGACAAAATTATGCGACTAGCTAGCACGCTGGAGCGTCGCCGCAACGCGGAGCGTCGTCTTGCACGCAAAAATCGGTCCCAACAGCCTCCGGTCCGGGTCGTGCGTCCTGCAGCCCCATCCACAGTCCCTGCCGTTGGCGACGACAGTCCCTGCAGAGAGGCCACAGTCCACCCGCCTCGACCTGCGGCTCCAACGTCCCTGAACCTTGTTGGTGTTCTTTCCGATGTTCCGCCTTCCCCATCACTCCCCTTGCCTCCGGACGCCATATCGCCTCAGCCCCGCACATTCACCGAGTCGGGGACGGAAACTATCCAGCTTCCACCCACTTGTGATGTCAGCATCGACGCCTCACTCCCTTGTCGCTCGTTTCGCGATGCAGCTGTCGGGAACGATGACCAACACACAACTTACGAGTTCATCGCAGATCCCTTCGCTCGTGACCTTGCGCGGCTGCTGCCGTTGCACGAAGGCCGGGAGCGCAAGCTCGCTCAAACGATATGGCTGGGTCACTGGGAAGCTCATATGACTCTTTTACAGGAGATGCCCCCATTCCTCAGGGTTTATCTCCACGCCCTCTTCATGTTCTTTCGGCCCACTGCTCCCCCCACACAGCGAGTTTCAATCCCTCCCGGATTTGCACCAGTCTTCAATTTATTCGCTCACTGGTGGTCTGCATGGAATGCAGTACCCACACCTTACGGACCGCCCGAGCCCGATATATGGCGCCGGTACTACTATCTCACGGATGCACAGCTTCAGGGGACAGCGCCGCTGGAGGGTCGAGGCTTCATTTTGGAGCATACGAGCTCATTCTTGTAGGGGAGGTATTTCAGATCGGCCGAGGGCGGCCTTCTTTTCGAGGGGGGGAGCCTGCGGCTGTGGTAGCCGCATAGCTGCTTGTTCGTGTTAGCTTTCCCTGTCGTAGTCAGTAGCACGTGATCCAATCCTTGGCTTTCCCGAGATCGTCCCAGCGCGAGTGCTTCGTGCCTCCTGCGGCGTCTCCAACATCTAATCGAAAGTCGTGGGGAAAAAGACTCATCAAGCTGAGAAGGCCGATCCTGGATACCGCTATCGAAAATGCGAAGGTGCGGACACTGCGGAGCGGGTACGATCCGCGACCGGGTGAAGGCCGCAGGTTAACGGGAGGGATCCGGAGTTCGTGAGGGAAGAGGCCTGCAAAAGGATTATAATAAATGTAAAAGAGTGGCCAGATGGGACGGACCAAGTCGACAAGGCCGTTCTGTCACGCTCTGAGACGCGTAGTCGCGTTGGCTGCGCAGAACGTCAAGAAGATATCCTGCAACAGAATTGGACTATAAGAACAAGAAGCGAGGGAGATGGAACTAGCCAAGTAAAGGTCGGGTACGGTGCTGTGCGGTAACGTTGGGGATGCCGGGTAAGTCGAAAAATGATTACAAGCAAGACGTCTGCGAAGGAATTGGACTGAAGGAAATAATAGTTGGGGGGGAGGGGGGAATTGGACTCACCGATTTAAAAACGGAGATCCAGTGCGTTGCGCTCGAAATGCACAGGCGCCGGGCGATTGGGACGCGCGACAGGTTTGAGTAGGCGGTGAAAACTCGAAACAGTATGTCAGGAAGAGGGCTTTGGAGAGGTTAACAGAAGTGACGGAGATGGGACACACCAAGTCGGCAACTCGGATCCGACTCCTCAAGACGGCGTCGGCGAGGGCTTGAGGTACACGATAGCACCGGCTGTGGACAGAAACCCGGAGAAGTATGTTGGGGAAAAGCTCTGTGAAGGAAATAGACGAGAGAAAATGAGATGGGGAAGATGGGAACCACGAAAGATGCGATCCAATGATTCCAAGAGAAGTGGGGGGATGGGACACCGAGTCGTCAAGTCCGATCTGACAGCTTCACACAGCGTCCGCGAGCGGCAGGGGCACGCGATCGCGCCAGTGATGAACAGGATGTTGAGGCAATATGTCGGGGAAGTGCTCTGTCAAAAAATTAGATGAAAGGAGAAGAAATGGTGGGGATAAGACTCACCGAGTCCAAAGATGCGATCCGACGGCTTGAGCGATTGGGAGGCGCGACGCGTTGAGAAACCGAGATATCTGGAGGGAGCGCGCAAAGGAAGAGGTCTGCAACAAGATTAGAATAAAAGTAAAGGAGGCGGGAGATGGCATACACCAAGTCGCCAACTCGGGTTCGACACCTCAGCACGGCGTTGGCAAGCAGCTGGGGCGCGCGATCGTGCCAGTCGCGAAAAGAAACTCGGGGGAATACGTCGGGGAAAGGCTCTTTGAAAAAAGAAATCGGGGAGACGGGACTCACCGAGTCGAAAGCTGCGATGTAACGGCTTGAGGTGGGAAATCTTAAGGCGCCGGGAGGCGCGAACTTTGCGTAAGGTGGGGATGTGGACAAGGAAGACATCAAGGAAGGGGTCTACAAAGGGATTAGGGGATTCAAGGAGGAGCGAGTGATCATCAAGTGCGACCTGCCTCTTCAACACGTCGGAGAGCCGCGGGCGGACGCGATCGCGCATATATCTCCCGAAACCAGAGGGAGTATGCCGGGAGGACATCTATGAGGCAAAAAAAAAATAGCAAAGACATAATCAAAAGGACGAGACCAGATGTATTCAGCGAACGCACCCGATAACATTCCATAGAGACCAGGTCAGAGTTCATCGAAGAACTTTCAAAATGCGACTGCCTAGGGAACATCTGCGTTCCAAGCATGTTCCGAGATGGCAGACCGCGTATTGTTCTCCAGGCAGATTATAATTATCCCGGCGCTGAACTTGTAATTATAAACTCCGCATCGCGATATGTGATCCGCAACACAGCCTACCTGATAATCAGTCCTTGGATAGTGATGACGCGCTACAGGAAGCGGACCTCAATATTGATGGCGTTGGCGGTGTCCAGAAACTTGGGGGAGGATGTCGGGAAAGTGCTCTGTAATGGGATTAGATGAAAGAAAAGAAATGAGGGAGTGGGAACTCACCAAATTAAAAACGGAGATCCGGGGCGTTGCGATCGAAAAAGCACCTACGCCGGGCGATTGGGAGGCGCGACGGGTTTGGGCCAGCGGTTGTTCCGGAGCACTTACTTCGGTATTCATTTCAGCAACGCGATACGATACATTTGTACAGAATAGTATTGAATGGAAAACATCCGACCTGCTTACCAGAGGCGCGCACATCGACTTGCGCGGCCCAAGCCCGACGACAGCCTACCCCGCCGAGCATACGCACATCGTCTTGCGCAGGCCAGCGATCGCGACACCACCGTAGGGAATATTACTATATTCGACCTTGCGGTGGTGGTGGTTACAGATCAAGAGCAAAATAGGTGCCCGTAACAAACAACAACAATGATGTTGCGCAAGTCTCGGGGGCCGGTCCGACCAAATATCTAATCTTATCACTTCAATTATCTTATCGCTTCATTTCTATGAACAAAAAGCCAAGTCCCATGCCGGACTCGAACCGGCGAACACCGGGGTATGGTGCATTCATAGTAATAGGTACCCGGCGACACAACCAATGTGCAAGTGGGACATTGGTAGTAGGCGTCCTAATGAACCTATGGTCGCACTACGAGTGTTTTTTTTTAATTCAAAAAAAAAAATACTCGCGAAAACTTGGGAACGTCCCATACCGGATTCGAACCAGCACACACTGGAATACACCGCGTTTGCGAAAATGCATTGTTTCCAGCAGCCCAACCACTGTGCAAATGGGACATTTGTAGTTAGTGTCCTAATAGTCCTATTACACGCCCCGGTCCCATTAGGACTTTTTTTCAAAAAAGAAATGCACTCAAGTGCGCCAATTTATTTAGTATAGTTACACCAGGTGGTCAGTAAGTCTAATTACGCGCGGTGTGCGCCAGTACAAATTATTTACAAGCTATCTACATAGTGTGATCATGATAGAAGGTCGTACAGGGAAAAGCGTTGTCGGTCGTGTCGATGTGAATGTTGCGCGCCATGCACAGACACTGGGGGCACACTATGATCTCCGGGCCCCGCAGATAGCCCGGAGATCATACGGAGATCAATTATCTCCGTGATATATTCCGGCCATCTACGGGCCCCGTAGATGGCCCGAATATTCGAAATAATCTGAATATCTCCGGGCTATCTCCGAGCCCCGGAGATAACCCGCAGATTGATTATCTCCGTAACATCTGCTGACCATCTGCGGGGTCCGCAGATTCAAAATCTGCGGACCCCGCAGATGGTCCACAGATCTTGAACCAAACAATCTAGAAAAGGAAATAAATGGGTACTTCTGAGATACTTGAATAGGCAATTTGCTCCATAGGCCTCAGTGCAGTATAGTACTGTATGTAGGTTCAAACTGATTTTCCCGAATATTAGATGCAATAAGTCCAAGGTGCTAGATATGTCGTTAACCTCCCTTCTACTGCTCTAGCCCGCTGTTCCATTTCGAACCTGCCACTCCCTCCCCCGCAATCTGCGTCGTACACCTCTTTCCCGTACACCCGCGTTGGCGTTTGGCTCGGGTCTCCCAGCCCCACACTTGTGATGAGCACCTCGAGGTGCTGCTCCATCTTCTGAGAGCTCGAGCTTGTAGCCCATTTTGTTCCCCTTCTTGCAGTGCGCAGGGCACTTGAACCGATCCGGCTTGTCGTCGTGCTTCGGGCACGCGATCCCGCTTAAAACTACAAGTACTCGTCGCGGTCTTACTGACGCTGCTCCCGATGAACACTGGATATAATAAATAATCAACATCTACAACGCAAAATAAATTTGGGTACCCACCAGATAAAAGACCAGCGGCCAGCCGATTGTACATGGGCGTAGAGCCTTGCGGCGGTCGCACAACATGGGGACAGACGAATGTGAGAGGACGGATGCCACGAGAGAGCCGACATTGGAGGAACCAGTCGGGCGCGAGCGCCAGAGCAGTTTGATGAGCCGGTCTTGTCTTACGGTTGGCGCGGATCCGCGCTGCCAGTGTACATGTCGTCTCTGTCCAGTCACACCCGCCGCGCCGTAACTGATCGAACACCTTGACGCGCACGCAGCCCATGATCAGGCGCTCAGGGCTGAAGAATGACGACGACTTAGTTGCGGACACCACTCCCTCGTCATCCACATCATCCCCACGCTGCTGCTCGTGCTGCTCTCCGAGCTCGATAGCATCGCAGAACACACCAGCGACTGTCCCCCGCTGCACGCGGTGTACGCAGGCGGCAGCTGTTCTTGCTGCTGCTGGGCGACAGCGTTGAGGCGCTGATGCCTGAGTGACGATGCTCACACGCTCGGGCACGTCTTGAGCGCATTTCTGTCACGATCAGCTATTGCAGTACTCCCATGGAAGGGAAATGCACCTGAAGGACACGCAGCATTTCGACATCACGCATGAGCGCACGGAGGTCCCCCGTGTCGTGCACAAAGTCGAGGGTGTTCTGTGTCATGTGGACGCGTGGAAAAAGTCAGTACGGTGTATTACGCAGCGAAATTTGAATCATACCTCCTGCAATTTCCACATAGATGTGAGCAGGATCCGGGCTGCAAGCAGCACACCGCCGAACATGGCTGGCAATCAGGTTGACGAAGATCCTGTCTACGAAACCGTTAGGTCAAGATAGCAACAGAGCTTGCGACGAACGTTTTATGATTCCTCCCCCGCGGTGAGCAGACCCTAATGGCCCATCGGACTACATAGATAGCGGACAAGTATTAGCAGACAAGTACGTATGCTAATAGGTAGGTAGTAGGGGCATAGGTAAATAAGTACGTAGGTATGTAACGAAAAGTAACTAGGGAGTAAGGCGTACGGATGGTAAAAGCATAGTGCTGATGATGACGGATGGTGGTGCGTCGCAGCGACTCGCGACGACGACTTGAGCTTTTTAGGGATTCTTGATAAATAACGAAGGAGGCATAGAAGCTGGTCATGCGCCGTCATTTGACCTTCTCGTCACGGCCGTAGATGATCTTGGGCGAGGCGGGCAGCATCGACGCAGTTAGAGGAAAAAGGATATATTGTGTCTTCGACGTGGAGCGATTCGAACCGAAAACCTCCTCGCGCACGGACGTGTACACGTTGTTGGGCGAGCCTGGACGTGCTGAACACATCGGGCAGATGAGGCGCTCAAATCGATCGCCAGCTTCATGTGTCACGCGTGCTCGAGTTGCGGGCTTGCCATGGCAGCGGCTGCTGAAAGAATCGATAATCTAATCGAAGATTGGAAGGATTCAAGAAAGAGAAAGAAAACGCACTTGATAAATATCATGACCCGAGTATCATTCGGTGCTATGCCTATGCAAAGTCGGGCCTGCCAGGCGGACATGCGTTCGAGAGGCGGCAGCCCTCCTGCAACGGCCGAAGTCTTGCTCGGGTACTCGCAGATGGCAGGGGATGGAGGCAAGCGCTGGGCGACGACCGGGCGTGTGTCGAGGAGGTCGCAGGGATGAGCAGAGAAAGAAGAACATCAAAAAAGCAGAGATGAGGCCCGCTCGGACGAGTGCTGTAGGTTGAAGAGGGCCCTGGCGTCGGACGCATGTTGGGAGGAGATGTTCAGCGCGGTGGAATGTCGGCAACGTTGGGCCCAGGCATGGACACAACATCCACAGTCCAGTTGAGCTGCAAAGACTAAGAACAAAAAACGAGAAGAGGATAGTAACACACCTGTTTACCCGTCGCGAGGTTTCCCTTTCCCATAGCATGGGGCGGCCCGCATGAGGAGGGCGGCGGGGATGGGAAACGCTCGAGCAGCGGAGGAGGGGAGCGGGGATGGGAAGTGCGAATGCGAGCCATCCAAGGGACGAGCTGCACGATGAGGACTTGAACTTGGACGTGGGGAGACAAGCTGTCACGAGGCGCGCGCGTCATTGTGTATAGCCCGCGCCCGCGCTGCCGCACCCCACCCACCCGCGAATAGACGAATAGCTTCGCGGGGGGGAGGGGGACGTGTGGGGCAGCCTGTGCGCCATCCCATCGTCTCCGCCCACCCGCTATGTAATGCTGATTGCTATCCTCTCTCTCCCCTCCCCCGCCCATCCTCCGCGCACCAGCAAGCAAATGGGCGTTAAAAGGCGTGGGCTCACCACGGAGCCTCCGCATACCCCGTCATATACGGCACCCCACAGGATGAAGCTGAGGCGGGGGCAGGGAAATCGGACGAGGACAAAGACGGAGACGAGGAGAAACAGGAGAGCCTGAGCCCGAGCCCGAGGTCGTACGGCGGCCCCGTACGACGCAGTCATGAACTTGAAGCCTGCGCCTGCGGAGGAGTGGGAGTGGGAGCTGGCGTGGAACGCGAACCCCTCCGCCCCATCGAAGGCGTGCAGCGACTCAAGCGAGGGGCACACAGACAGCGAGGACGCCCCTGGATGACAAATCCTCCAGCGAGCTCCACGCGGGGCGGGGGTGCTTGGGAACGACGCCGACCCTGCTGAGTGCGAAGAGGCGGAGGACGCGAACAAGAGCGAAGGTGTCCCGCCCGCACGAAGCGCCCGGGGTGCTGAACGAAGATGCAGACGCGGGGTATGGGGATGCGGAGTGGAAGGCGCTCATGTGTGCGGGGTAGGGGAGGCAGAGGCGGAGGCGGAGTCGAAGGGCGGCGCCAAGAACGGGAACGACGCGGGTGTCCCGGGCGCCGAGACCGCTTCGTTGAACGGCCATGCAAAGTGCGCGTCAATGGCCGAAGGCGCGGGGGAGGGCGAGACGCAGTTAAAATCCGAATTAGAGTCAGCTGGTATTGCGGCGAAGTCAGAGTCGAAGGGGAGGGCGAGCCGGGCATCGATGGCGAGGGGGGTGCCGGGGATTCAGCGGCAGTAGGAGTGGGAGAAGCGGGGGAGAAAGTGGGGGACGCGGGGGACGGGCACGTGGGGTCGGAACGCAGTCCCGCGCGTCTTCGTCCCCTCCTCCTTCCCTTACTTCTTCCCTACCCATCCCCTCTTCCTCCCTTTACCTTGATCCTTCTCCCCCCACCACACTCCCGCCTCAACTCCACGCCGCTTTCGCGCGTGGCGTCAAACGCGCACACGTCAACCTCGAGCGCAGGGCCGGCGCGGCTGGCGAGGAGGAGGGCGGCGATGTGCGCGCAGCGCGGGGGGTCGGGGCCGAGAATTTCACGGGGGCGGGGCGGGGTCTCTGTGTGCTTACCCGGCGACAGGGGGCGCATACCGCCCCCCCGCCCGGATTATCCGACGCACTACCCAACGAAGATGCCGCCGCCCCCCCGCTCCCCCCCCACCCTCACCCCCACCTCTCTTTGGCCAAAACGCATACCCCGTAAATGTCTTCCCATGTTCCTCCCGCGCCTTCCTCGCCCTCTCATCACCCCCCGCGCACACCGGGCAGGAGGGTGCCCCACGCGAGGCCCGCGATGGCGGAGAGCGTCACATGGGTGGGCTCTTACGAGAAGGGTACGGCGTAGGAGCGGAAGAGGATGGAGGCGTTGAGCGGGCGGGGGATGTGTGCCGCGCCGTTGGTGGTGGTGGTAGATCCGGAGTTGTCGTTGTTGAGGGAGGAGGTAGGGGAGGCGGGAGCGGGGGGAGAAGGCGTGCACTTGTGGGAGGTGAGCTTGGGCGTTATTGGCCCCCGCGCCGGCAGGCGGGTCGAAGAAGGACGGTGTCGGTGTCGGGTCAGCATCTCCGGTCTTGGGGCGTGGCGGAGGCTAACTCCTCCAGCGAACGCAATGCCGCCAGTGGGCGTGACGACGGCGGGCTGCGTCCAGACGAATTACGTGCCTGCGGGATCGTCA